TTGATAGGCTCATTCAGGTTGACCAGAGGTATGTTCTGGCTACCTCCCCAGTTAGCGCATATTTTTTTTTTCAGATGCCAAAAGTGGCCTCCAGAACAAAAACCTTCTCAAGGCTCCAGCTTTCACTGAAATTAGTCCATACCAAGTGAAGTGTAACACAACTACATGATGTAAAAGAATACACAAATACATTTGAGGTACAATAGATTCTTAGAAAGAACCAGAAAAATGAACCAACCTTCATTCTTTTTGCACTCAACTGTAAATGCCTGTCAATACGGATGAAACCATTTCACCTGTATAAAATTCAATTTTAACGATTTTACCGATAAAGGTCATCTCTAATAAATACACTACATACAATTGCAATGATACAAAGAGTCAATGCGCATACCTGGCGCAGTTGACTAAAAATGCAAATGTGTGGAATCTGAAAATAGGACAAAGGCTTTGGAACTGGCAGCAGCATGTGTCGTGACATTATACTTGGATCCTATGTAAGGTTCACCTACCATGAAATAGAGCACGAAGAGGTTCTAGAGTAAACACCCAATGCAGGGAGAAGAATTGCATTACTACCAAAGGGTTTAGAAACACATAATGGATTTATTGTGGAAACTTGTGCTTATACAAGAAATACAGAAAAGATGACATAGATGCCTAAACGGCATGTCTGAAACATTGAAAGACTAAACTACACCTAAGTAGTAAACGTGTGCAGATTTAGCATGGCTCGCAGCCATTCAGAAAGTCATGTACAGCAATTCCCGCATACACATCAAAGACTGATGTGTCTGAACGTCACAAGTACAAACATGAGAAAAAGACTCATTCTATTATATGAAATATAATAAGAACCCCCTGACAATTAAGAAAGACATTTGAAAACACCTTTGGAGTGTCTCCTGACCTCCGTAATGAAAAGACGAGCCAAGACAGGGCATTTTAATTAAAAACTCGGAAACGACGGAAGGCCAAAGACTATTGGTAACGTGTACACATGCACATCAATGCATCAGGAAACGTTAATCATTTTGTGATGTCATCTGTCAAACCGGTAAACCGGGCCATAGAAAGAAACACGAGAGATCATGCCCAGCTAAGAATAGCTACGTCGGCTAACTCCGCGTATGCATCAAACACTGATGCGTTTGAAAATGAAAGACGCGACACTACAAAATCTGTAGTGTTCACAGAGAAAGACTACAAAATATACCACACGTTCACTAAATTTCATATTTGTAATTTGGACCGAAGTATCCCACATTAAAACACATGTAAAACATAGATAGGGGTTCCTGGAGTATATAAGGAGCGTGCTGGCAGGTCAAAAGGGAAGCAATTGCCCACCGTTGACCTGCTAGTTGCACTCCAGGTAGGAACTTAGGAGGTGGACAGTTGTAATCAATTAAAGGAGATTTCTTTGTGGTCAGAAAAGTACAGTGTGAACAAAGCCAGCATGCTTGGGAGTCAACTTACTTGGAGACTTTTGAATAAGAGGTTTTAAGAACACAGTATCAATTAGACAAGACAGCGTACTCGTACCCTTAGTTTTGGAGTGTAGTGACATAATAAAAACTCATGGGAGTCATAAAAGTCAATTGAAGTCGTGTTTTGTGTTAATAAAAGAAACTGTGATCAAAGAACTTTGCATTTAAGAGACCAAGTTCCCAGAAAGACATACTTTGTTCTATTGAACTATTCTAAACCACACCTTATAATAAAAACCTGTTTTGAGACGAAAACTCTTGAGACTTAAACCTAAGAAGACAAAAGTGGTATTTCTTAATACCAAAGGCCCTCGAACTCGTGCACTGAGATTGTGATAGTGTGTGTGTGTGTGTGTGAGTAAGTGTTTAGGTGTTTAGGGTTTTCCTGACACACTTGATCCTTGTTTGCGTGTTTCGCACTTTCACGGTCATCCCTGTGCAACGCGTATCACTGTGGTTCATGCAGTTGAAAGGATTGTAAGGGTAAGGGTCCCTTGATGTTTTGGATTTGTTTTGTGGGGTCGGAATGCTAAAAAGTCTTCATGGTTTTATTTCTCACCCTCAGAAGTACTGTTGAAAAGTAATAATCATTTTAGGCTGTGGTCATTTTTTGAAAATTTTATCAATCCCAAGCATACTCTACCAAGAAGTCTAGAAATCCCCTCCTTTTTCTACTTTTCTCTTTCCTTTTTGGGAATTTTTCTCTCTTTCCTTTTATACTCCCACAACCATGATAACCAGGCCACCCGAGCATCCGGTTGAGTCAACTGGACTGGTGGCTACCACTTTTATCTATAACCTAGACTTAAGCCTAGACAGTCATTTCTATAACTTAGACTTAAGTCTAGAGGCCATATCTATAATGCTTAGGATTTTTTGAAAGGCATTTCAAATGTAGGCCTGGGTATTTCATAGTGAATTTTCCATAGATACCCAGCGCATTTTCTGCGAAATTTCAAATGCAGCCCTGGATATTTCATTGCGATTTTTCAATAGATACCCTGGTGTAGGAACCTGTTAAAGGAGTGACGCTGATTCGCGTGGTCCGAGTAACAACGACGAAGTGAATCTGGCGAGTTTCTAGATAAAGGTTGCTACACTGGTGTGTAGACTTCTAACGAGAATCTAATTGGAGGAGAGAATCAATCTCTTTACGCGAGTAGTTACTTATGCTCTGGAAAGCCACGAGCGTAAACGTACTCTCCTTTCTCGGAAAGCCGCAGAAAGGTGTGAAAAGATGATCTGCGGATAATGGGGAAGGAGGAAGAAGAAGGTTCAACTTCAAGGGAGTCACGAGCTCCCTACTACAAATAACTATGCTACTGACCTCGTTAGTATATCCCTGTTACGCGTGTAGTCGAGTCGTGAAGACGATGCTCGAAGGCTGCAAGCGAGTGCAAGATGTATGAATAAGAAGATAAAGATACTACATGTGTGACTGCGAAAATTGTAACCAGGTGTGACTACTGTGACCATGTGACAATTGAAGCGGAATACGTTAAGTTGGGAATATACCAGTAAAGATGGAGGAAGGGATCGATCCGTAGTCCTACCCGTTACAGAGCCCCCCTATTCCCCACTTGACGTGGCCGGTACTCTTCGGGCAACTTGATATCCATCAAGCGACGCTTGTTCCAGTCCACGAGAAAGCCGTCGATGATCTTGGAATGTAAACGAGTTAACATGGCTGGGACTACTTGGTTGAGGCGTTCCCGCGATCCCCTGTGGCCTCGGTTCAATCGACGGAAGTAATTGTTCCACATCCCGGGGGTCCTGAACTTTGCGGAGCCCTGCAGGATTTCCTTTGTAATGTCATTGAACATGTTATCCATGCGGCTGTCCCACTCCCCAGTCCAGAAGAAACAGCCTTCATCTAGAATGTCCTTCGAGGGATACAGGGACTTGTCACGGTCGCTGTCACTGCAAATGCAGCCAAAAAGGATGTCGATTTCTTGGGGGGACATTTCGTCAGTGTATAGGAACATGGGGTGCTCGTCGTCTGAGTCGATGTATCCGCGTCGGTGGAGATAGACATCTGGGGAAGGGCCCTCCATGAATTGCGTGACAAGTTCCATTCCGCCCCATTTCCGACCCAACCAGGCTATAGGGCCTCCCATACCAACTAAGATTCTGGCATGCGGCCTTCGTATGATATCGTTCACACGACTCATATAATAAGCGCGTAAGGCTCCCTGCGCAGTATAGGCGAATGGTGCTTCGATCGTCGATGACGGCTTCCCTACTAGACGGTCGATGTCAGAGACCTCCTCTGGTTTGAATTTCCCAAAGTCTTCGACTTTGACTCCAATGGTGAGTGGTAACCCGTGACAGACCGCCTTGAACAAAAGAGCTGGCATCGAGGGAGTATCTGGGGAACAAGTGGCCCAGAACCGTAGTCGAGCTTGTGCGCGAATATCAGGTATGAGAAGATAACCGACGTCGAGGTAATCCGGGTTCCAAGCTAGGGGCCGCTTACTGGTCCAAGGGTCCACTGCGCTGATATATTGACCCGCTAGGTCGCGTAACTCCTCAATGTATACTGCTCGTTGATTGGGCAACGTAGGTTGACCACGACGTGGCGAGGCTGACCATCTACGAAAATCTTGGTCGCCTGAACTTCGAAATTGACGTGCTGCTGAGGATGCCCTGGAGCCGGAGTGACTGGATGGAGCGGACATCGCTTGTGTCCATCGGGAAGCGATTGTGACCGGAGAAGCTGGTTGTGGTATGACGAGCAGAGGATGAGCTGCAGGTACCCAATGCGGACGTGGAAGGGGTTCCCGGTTTCCCCCAGAGTCCGTTGCGGTGGGGCTCCCTTGGTATTCGTCATATGTGTCTCCCAGTCGGCTGGCCAAAGTAACTCGACCCCATTCATCGAACTGGGACTTCTTCGTCGGGGCGTAAAAGCTTTTGTACAACTCTCGAATCTCCCGATCGCTCCTTTGTGACTCTCTGCTGATCCCTGGCCCTAGCGTTCCGGCTCTCTGCTCTCTGACTAGGTCGGATCGCCGGGGCTTCCATCGCCAGATGGTAACATACGTGTCACGATCGTCCACTTCGATGGCGAGGTGATACCTGTCCGCGTAATCACGAATAAGGAGGGGCTCTGTCAATGATCTAGCTGACCAGCCCTCGAAATCGCATATGGATACCACTGCTCCCGACGGAATGTCCGCGTACACTGGGGAAACCATATGATCTGGTGCGCGTCGTAATTGGAAAAAGTCGTTGTAAGATCTGATCGCGTCCATTTCATCTTGGAGGCCCATCATGTCGTCCACAAGGACCTCTGTCTTGTCTAAGGCACTGCAGGTATCATGGTACGCTTGAAGGATAGATGGCGACAGTCGCGTGAAGCAGGGATAGTCGTCTAAGTCGTCCTGCCAAAAGTAGTAAACTGGTACGTTCTCTGCTAGCAGATGAGCAACGTTCAATGTTCTCCAATGGCCCAGTAGGTCTAGAAAAACTCCCCTTTTCTTCAAATCCCTGAACTTAAAACTCGCGACGTAGTCCACCATCCATCGTTGTAGCGGATCCTCCCACCTGGAGACTGACGAAGACCACCAGTTCAAAAAACCGAGGTACTCGAGCGCTCGTCCCTTTGCATCATCCATGAGAGACATTGCGCCTCGCGCCGAGTCCCAGGCGGCGGATAACAGGAGGTAGTTGAATTTAGTGGGATGAGGAGTTCCGGTCTTGAAGGGGGGATTCGATGTGATGGTTTCAACGCATAGCCATAGCCTGGAGAGAGAGTCCTCCGCTTTCGAGCGGATCTCGGGATGGAAGTGGAATTTCCCTTCAGAGCTCTCCCATGCCGGGCTGCTTCCGCTAAAATACCACGGGACTGATTCGTTCTCGTCAGCGAAGTAGTCGACTACGTTCCAGGCATCCCAGTGATACTTATCTGAGTACCACGTAGGTTGCTTCGTCCAGGTCCAGCTTGTGGGTCGCGCTGCCAGTTCGGGCAAGAGAAAAGCGCGATCTTCTAGTGCCTGCTCGAAGACCGCTGTGGAGGGAATCTTGCCTGCGGAAGCATTCAGGGCTACCCATTCACCCGCAATTGTCTTCTCCCGCACCGAAGTAGGCACTTTGCCATCGCCGTCTGTGTAAAGGCAATCCATTGTCGATAGTCTTAGGGTGGTAGGGTTGGAAGGGGGGATATGAAAGAAGAAGGAAAGAAGAAAGAAAGAAAGAAGAAAGAAAACAACATAAAGGGAATGGCAAGTGGAAACGGAATCATGTGGTGTCGTCAACTGATCGGATCACGATCCGATCAGCGAAATAAGTTAAGTCCGATCTCATCTACAACGCCTGACTCTCCCCACGAGTCTTCTTCCACTTTGAGACTACTTCCGGCGCATTCGTCAAGGCGCATCGAGGCTCCCAAGTGTCGTAAAGTGGGCTGTAGCCTACCCAACGGACTAGGTACTCGAGACCCTTCTTGGTACGTCTTTCAGCTATGATCTTCTCCACTTCATATTCCTCTTGAGCCGGTCTAGTAGTTCTCGTCTCCGGGAGAACTTGACGATCTCCATATTCCGAGGGTGAGTCCTCATACTTCTTTAGGTGCTGATAATTGAAAATAGGCAGTCCTGGATATAAGTTACTCATCCGCAGACGATAAACATTCGGGTTGATGCGTTGGATCACTTTGAATGGTCCAATCCATCTTTGCGCTAATTTCTTGCCTTCTCCCTTAGATTCGATCCATTCTAGTGCATGCGGGTTCACAAGAACTCGGTCGCCTTTCACAAGGTGAGGGATTGGCTTCCGAGTCTTGTTGAAAGACTTTGCTTGCTGACCTTGAGCTTTAGCGATAGCTGCTCTGGCGCTGTCCCTGTGCATCGCGAAATTCTCCAAGAATGTCGTCGCTTCGGGGCTTAAAGAACGCGACTCAAGCTCTCCTGAATGTTTAGTCCCTATGAAGTCTAATGGTGTCCTCGGGTGGAACCCCAGGAGTAGGTGAAATGGAGTCGTCCCTGTCGAGGAGTGAACGGCACTGTTGTAAGCGAATTCTAGCAAGTGCAACCATATTGACCACTGATCCCTTTTTCCATTGATGAAGGCGCGTATCATGGTGGTGAGCAACTTATTCACTACCTCTGTCTGGCTGTCGTGCTGGGGGTGATGGGAAGAGGATAAACTCATCTTCGTTCGTAGCGACTTGGCGACTTCCATCCAGAAGTCGCTTGACCACCGAGGGTCTCTATCCGTGATAATGCTTTCGGGGAGCCCAAATCGACATGCTATGACTTTCACAAAGAGAAGAGCGAAACCTTCCGCGTCCAGACCCGTAGTCGTAGGGATAAAGGAAGCGTGCTTTGTAAGACGGTCGACTACAACATATATCGCGTTGAAGCCCTCGGACCAAGGTAAGTTGACGATAAAATCCATTGAGATGGATTGATAAGGACGTGACGGGATGGGATTAGGGATTAGCATCCCGAATTTGGTGAAGTTCGAAGATTTTGTCTTCTGACATACATCGCATGACTTGCAAAACTTGACGATGTCCAATTTCATACGCTTCCAGTAAAATCTGGAGCTGAGAGAGTGCCATAAGCGTTCGGGTCCTGCGTGCGCTGATTCCAAGGGATTTTCGTGCGCCTCTTTCAAGATGAAATTCCTCTGGCCTGACGGAACGCATAGACGGGGTTGGTAATCTTCATTGTTGAAGAAGATCATCCCATCCTGATCGACAAAGAATCTCCTTCCGGAACCGAGCTTATCATAACGACTATCGTCGTCTTTCGCAATATTCCGGAACATGGGGTCTTCAAGGTATGACTGCCTCCATTGCTGTTTGGCGGTCTCACTCATTGCTAGGTTGATAGTAGGTGGCGGGTTGACTGCTCCCCAGTATTCGATTGTCGTATCCAAAGTATGTAACTCATCGGATTCAACTTCGCCGCTCTGAAAGTTGTCAGAAGTTGGAATGTCCCTCGATTTGGGTAAATCTTTGTTTCGTGATCGGACGTTGATTAAAACTTCCTTCGGTTCATTCAAGCAGTCCTCGATTGACCATGCGGCAAATGTAAATGCTGCCATCTTCTCAGCAGGGGCAATCTCCTGACGCTCGTCCAGTGACTCCTTTGCACGAATGGATGGCTCCTTGGTTTCCAAAGGAGATACGTGTGCTGGTGGCGCCCTAGGTAGACGGGATAAAGGGTCGACATTGGAGTGTACACGTCCCGCCCGATGGATAATTTCCAATTTCGGAGCGTACGCAGAAAATACTGCCCCCCAGGCCGCTAGCCGGCGGTTAGCGTTCTCATAGGTTCGCGCCCACTGTAAAGCTGAGTGATCTGTGATCAAAAGTATGTTCTCTCCTTCAATGAAAGGCTGGAACTTAACCAAGCCTTCCTTCGCAGCGAGTGCTTCGCGTTCGGTCGTGGAGTACCGTGTCTCGGCGCTCTTGAAAAGTCGTGACCAGTAAGCGACTACTCTTTCGACATGCACTATCGTCTCATCAAAGTTCTCAGCCCATACATCGTCAAATTCGTGGTCCTTGCATGTTGTGCTTAAGCTAGAGACTAGTCGAGGAGGAGGCAGACCACTTTCAAATGCTTTTTTGAGGCGAGCGTAGGTGCGTGTTCCTTGCAGGTCCCCTACTCGGATGGGCTGAACTTGCTGTAGGGAGCAACCCAAAGCTTCATCTGAAGCGTCCGTATAGAGTCGATATGGTAAGCCTTCCATTGGGTGACCTAACACTGGACTGGATTCTAGCACTGCCTTGGCTGACTGGAAAGCATGTTCTTGCTCCACGCCCCAATGCCATTTACTCCCTTTCCGCAAAAGTTGGAATAGCGGGGCGCAAATCGATGCGTAGTATGGGATGAAGGCGGAAAAATAGACAACCATTCCTAAGAAGGCCTGTAACTGTGAAAGTTTCTTTGGTCTTTCTAATTCCATGATAGCTTTAACTTTTTCTGCGTGCGTCGAGAGGCCCAACCGTGATACCTTGTGGCCTAGGAGAAGTATGGAACCGTAAAACAAATGACACTTCTTCGGAGATAGAGTGATGCCGGCCTTTTCGATTGCTGCTAGAACTTGATCCAAGTGAGACAAATGCTCTTCATAAGACTTCGAATAAATGACGATATCGTCAATGTAGACCAAACAAAATATCCAAAGGTACGGAGCTAATATACTCTGCATTACCCGCTGAAAGATGGAAGGGCCGTTCCTAAGGCCAAATGGTAAGCGTTTAAATTGAAACAGTCCTCTGTGTGTCCTGAAAGCGGTTTTTTCAATATCCTCCTCTGCTAGTTCCAACTGAGTAAATCCAGACAGTGCGTCAAGTGATGATAGAACTTGCGCGCCTGATAACGAGGCTAGAATGTCAGACTGGCGAGGTATTGGGAATTCATCCGGAATGGTCGCTGCGTTCAACTTTCGGTAGTCAACGCAGAATCTTGGTTTGCCGTTCCGATACGCGATAACTACGGGAGCACTCCACGGACTTTTGGACGGTTCAATGATGCCTTGTTCAAACCAGGTATTTATTTGTTCGTCAATTATTTCCCGTTTCTGAGGAGATGCGTGGTACATGGGCACTGAGATCGGAACCTGGCCGTCGACTGTCCGAATGTGCACCTTCGCCGGTAAATTACCCAGACGACCGTCGAACCCAAACGCTTTAATCCGCCGTCTCAACATTGCCCAAGCTTCTTCTTTCAAATGCTCAGGTAAGCTACCTACGTCGATCAGTTCTTCCAGCTGTTCTGACGAGTAAACGGTCGGGTCAGGCATAGCCGCGGTTTTAGGTCCGTACTGTTCCTGTTCCTCTTCTGCGTCCTTGCTCTCAGGTTCTCCCTGGCCTTGCTCTGTTTGGAGGGCAATGACGGTTCTGATCACTTCGGCCGCATCGCGGAACTTCTCGAGTTCTTCTGATGATTTAGGAGTGTCGAAAAACTCCGCTGGATCTACTAGGGAACCAATGATTTCCCCCTTATGGATATAGCGAGGGTGATCAGTAGGATTCGCCACCGGCACCCACGGATTAGCTGCCGAAATGAGCACGTTGGGAACCGCGAAAAAGGTGTCGTTGGCGTTGGCTAGCAAATTCTTCTGCACCAACCACTCTCGGTCTTCGTGAAGATGTCCTTCAACTCGGATGGGTTTGCTTTCATGAGGTTTCAGACAGACTTCTTCTGATGCTCGTATGACTCTTTCCTCTACGCCAAACTTAACTTTCTGACGGTGACATTTAGCTTTATTTCTCCTATGGAACTGACGTCGAACGTATTGGCCGACCATGTACGCGCTCTGCCGCATACGGGTAAAGTCCTTGGTCCTTTCCACGGGAATGGCTCGAACCCTGTGCTCATGATGCCCGAAGGATATGTGCATCCCTTCTTCTACGTTCCGAGTGACACCTAGCTCATAGGATTGTTGATAATCCTCCCCTAGCAGTATTGGGACCGTCATCCCAGGGACTACATATGCTTCAGCTTCCGTTTCTAATACTTCTCCGTCTATTGTTGTCATGAAGATCGGTATGCGAACGAAACCTTTGAGCTGTGCATCCTTGTCCGTGAGTTGCCACAACTGCATTCTCATACCTTGTTTGATAGTAGGCTTTGAGACCAGTTGCTCGTAGAATTCGTATGATATAAGAGTGATGTCCGCGCATGAGTCTAATCCACTAGTGGCTACCACTATTTATGATTAATCTATGACAACTGTCCAAGAGCCATTGTGTATAATGCCACAGGTTTTATGAAAGGCATCTCATTAGGATTGCCCATCTATTTCATTCAATTTGTCACTGGAATCTTTCATAAGTTATAGGCAAGGATAATGAGATATCATGGGGATATTTCATTAGGCTCTTTGGCCCTTTCATTATCATTTCTGAGACTTTTCATTAGGATATTTCATTAGGCTGCTTCGCTTTTTCATTACCATTTCATAGAATTTTCATTAGGATATTTCATTAGGCTCCTTGCCACTTTCATTACCATTTCTTAGAATTTTCATTAGGATATTTCATTAGGCTCCTGCGCTTTTTCAATACCATTTCTTAGAATTCTCATTAGGATATTTCATTAGGCTCCTGCGCTTTTTCATTATCATTTCTTAAAATTTTCATTAGGATATTTCATTAGGCTCCTGCGATTTTTCATTATCATTTCTTAGAATTTTCATTAGGATATTTCATTAGGCTCCTGTGCTTTTTCATTACCATTTCTTAGAATTCTCATTAGGATATTTCATTAAGCTCCTTCACTTTTTCATTACCATTTCTTAGAATTTTCATTAGGATATTTCATTAGGCTCCTGCGCTTTTTCATTATCATTTCTTAGAATTTTAATTAGGATATTTCATTAGGCTCCTGCGCTTTTTCATTACCATTTCTTAGAATTCTCATTAGGATATTTCGTTAGGCTCCTGCACTTTTTCATTACCATTTCTTAGAATTCTCATTAGGATATTTCATTAGGCTCCTTCGCTTTTTCATTACCATTTCTTAGAATTTTCATTAGGATATTTCATTAGGTTCCTGCACTTTTTCATTATCATTTCTTAGAATTTTCATTAGGATATTTCATTAGGCTCCTGCGCTTTTTCATTACCATTTCTTAGAATTCTCATTAGGATATTTCATTAAGCTCCTTTGCTTTTTCATTATCATTTCTTAGAATTTTCATTAGGATATTTCATTAGGCTCCTGCGCTTTTTCATTACGATT